TCGTGCCCCTCTTGATTGGATGAATAGAGGAACACAAACTCGAGGTACCCGGGCGTACAGTCAACTCATATGTAATCTTCGGCGTACAGTAGCTGCAGATATCGTCTTACCAATGGACGCTGCAACTATAGATGTCACACGTGGGGACGTCGCTCTGCGATTCCGCTTGGCTACAATAGCAATATATCGATCTTCCGCGGGGGTTGTAACCCTTAGGCGACCGGCTACGGACCTTCGGACAACTGTCTGTGTGGTTTGGAATTATTTCCATAAGCGTGAAATTACAGAATGATGAACGCCTAAGAAAAGAGATGATCGACTGTCCTGCTTCAATGCGTCCCACAGCACGCCAGCGCTCAGAGTCTTCCATTCGTCTTCTGGAAGTCATAGAGAGACATATGTCTTGAAAACTGTTGGGTAGAGGCGAGCGAACGTTTTTTTCTTATACGCATGCGTATTAATTATGATGGTGCAGCTGTTTCTTCTACCGACACATCCGCCATTCGAGCTTCGAGCGTAGAGAGATGCTGATATGTTATTTGCTGTGTGATGCTCAATAAGATTTCCTGTGTGATATTTTTATTCATTATTCATGTAAATAAAGTGTGTTGTCCTACGATGGCTTCTTTACTCTAAATATTGGCCTCTGAACAACAAAAACAAATTGTACGAAAGTTTTAAACACCTTCTATCAGCACTTACAATCAACTTCTGTAACCCTTCATAAAGCTGGCTTCTTATAAGACTGCCTTTTTTGCATATTTCTTGACATGAAAGCGCGATTGGCTGTTACCTAACATATTTGCATACTTCCAGCTACCTCTGCAGCGAATTGCATCCTCTTCAATTCTGATTGGCTTCCGGAAATTAGCATTTTTCTCTCCGTGCTTAACTTTTGGAAGTGAGTGTATTACAGATTGTAATTTTCATGCGTATCAATTCGAAATAGTAATAAAGTTAATCTACACATCGCAAAAAAAGGGGGGGACAGCTCTATATCTCCCGTTTTACTGGGCCGATTGGCGAAATTCAAATTGCTTTTTTCATGTCTCAAAAGCGTGGCTTAGGATATATATTAGATTTATATATATCATTGTTCTAATATAGGTCTTTTGACACAAAATCAAACCTTTTTCAGAAATGGCATCGCGAATTTTTTTCCATATTTCGATTCTACGCCTCAAATTATGCCTAAATATTAAATGTTATTAAATTTGGTGCAAAATTTACGGAGAAATCCAAAAATATATCTTGGCGGAATTTTTTAGGTTCGGCAAGAATCACTTAGCGAACTTCTTAAAATATGGCAACCTTTTTACCTTGTGCATGAGCGGAAAAAGTTACATCGTTCCTACTTCCAAATAATTTTAACAAAGTGCCTAAACCACATTTGATGTTATTATCGCTTTCAACAAATATGCCAAATTTCAAAATGCGCCAATATATAAATTCACGTATATTTTCGGAAATATACGTGAAAATATACGTGAAAAACTCAAAATGTTTTGCAGGTATGCTCAGAAATGCATCTACTCTAAGATGGTAAAAATTTTATAGATTTTAATTCAGAATTGTTTTCGAAAAATATATAAAAATTATTAAAAAATAAAACGTCTAAAAATAAATCCTAAAAAATGGGCGAACATTATTTGGAATTAACCTAAATTTCGAAATGTGAAAGGAAGGCTCAAATACGTTCAATAAAAAAAAGAGACATTAATAAATACATACCAGACTCAATTAGAATGAGGAACTTAAATTTTGAGAGCTAATTTTTAAAAACTACTCGTGCGATTTTTACAAAACTTCGCAGTTTGGCATAATTTGAATCGTAGAATCGAAATATGGAAAAAAATTGGCATGTCATTTCAGAAAAAGTCCGATTGTGTCAAAATTCCTATGTTAGAACAATTTGCTATGTATGAATCTAATATGACAAAGTAAATTTCTAATTCAGAAGTCAAACAACAAAAATCAGCGTTATATTTACAAAATTTTCACAGGATTACAAAACCGCAAAAAAATAATTTTTTGCGGTTTTGCAGCTGAAGATGGTGGTTCGGTGAAACCATCGAAACTAGTCCTGTGAAAATTTTGTAAATATAACGTTGATTTTTGTTGTTTGACTTCTGAATTAGTATTTATTGGGCGTGTTATTGTGTCTTAAAGTGAATTTCGTCAATCGGCCCAGTAGAACAGGAAACACAGAACTGTCCCAGTTTTTATTTTTCGCAGTGTGTAACATAAAAGGAAGTTATTTCGTTGCCGATGTCATCATAAAAGTCGGCGAACGACTTTGACGACTTAGTTCGTAATTATATTCATAATCATCAAGTTCATAATTATAAAATACAAAATAAAGAATATTTTTTCATGAGTTTTGAATGAATAGTTAGTATTTCATTGCTCACGTTTAAAAATGTGATCCCTAAAAATAATGACGCTATATTTTAACCGAATTATTTACGATCGTAAAATTATTATAATCAATTATAATAATTATGTTAGAATTAATTGTAGCGAAAATGATTCACTAAAATTCAGTTAAATAATTATAATAACAATTATTATGCAAAAATAGTTATTTCTTACCTTCATTGTAAAATTATGTATATATAGCAAAATTAAGCTTTTAAAACACACTTATAAACATATTAAAACACAAACTACATATTTTTATTATTCAAAAAATCTTTTTCTTGTTGAAAAAATTCTCCTGACTTCTTTTAAAAAACTCATAATTTTTTAACGTCGTAGTCCTGCCAAATGTAAATTGTTCAGACGTGACGTGAGTTACCTTGGACATATCTCTGCTGAAGGTGTGTGTACAGATCCAGAAAAGTGTCAGCAGTTAAGAGTTTGGAGATACTCTGAAAATATGCATCAGATGAAAAGCTTATTAGGTCTTTGCACGTACTTTTGGAGATTTTTGAAGGACTTTTCTTCCATCACAAACTGACAGAGATCAAACAAAAGTTCTTGTGGGCTACAGTCTTATATCTAAATATATTATATAACCTCTGTAGCCTTTTCAGGACAAAAATGTAATAATTGTTACAAACATAATTTCGATAGTTATCATCATTTGAAGATTTTAATTGGGTAGTTATTTTTAAATATTCCATTTTGTGTTTAATTTTTTGAGATATTTCTTTTTGTGTTTTTTTGCTTTTTGAGAGTAAGGCATTCCCTAATGTAAATGGGATAAAGCAAAGAAGTAATTACTACAGTCAAAAGTCGTTAATTCGGACACCCATAATCCGGAATGATCTATAATCCGGACCTCAAAGCTTCAAACTTTCTGCTTGACGCATGCGCGTAAGGCCTTTACGGCTGAGAATATGCTTGTGTGCGTGCGCAAAATACGTTTACGAGTGCGCGTTTAATGTATAATGGACGCTATAAGCTAAGCTAAAATTATTTAATTATCTATTTCAGCTAATGTTGCAGATTGCTTTGTTCCTTAATCTTCGAATTGGATCCGGCTTGTTATTTTTTGCAGACTGTTAGAGCAATTTTATAAAAGTAAGCTTGAACTTTCGATTATGTTAAATAGAATTTCTGATATATATTTATTAATATGTAAATGATCTACAAAGCGAAAGTATGTTTTGAAGTTCATTAAACAAAAAGTGGAATTGCTACAAAAAATGGATAAAGGCATATCCTTTGTTTATGTAAACTTTAACGTTTGTTTATCTTTAACGCCGCGGCGCCGCGCAATGAATTGGAAGTTGATCTGTCAGCACTATCCTTATCTTCAGGGCAGATGTTTTTATTTTATTTGACTTATAATTCCTTATTAAATGTAGTATTTCATCTCGATGTACTCAATCTTTGATATGATTTAAATCAAATTCTTCGTCATTATAATTCGCTTCCGATAGCGAAGAAAGTGACAGAGGTTATTGAAAACGAAAAAATTTCAATTGACAAATTAGTCGGTATTCTTGACACAGCAATTATAGGACTTGAACAGCGGAATTTGTAACTGAACAAGAAATTATGTCTGTTTAAAGAATTAAAGAGAATGTATTATCACATAAAAAACGAAGCAACTTAAACGACTTACATTGAAAGAAATGTTTAATAAAGTAAACAAATAAATATTAAGCTTTTTTGTATATTTTGATACCCTTTAGATCATAATTGTTCTTTATTTCATAAATTACGGTTTCATATTTTTAATTTTATAATTTCTGCATGCCATCTTACCAGATTTAAACTGATGATCTATAATCCGGAAAAATCGATAATCCGGAATCGCCGAAGTCCCGACGAGTCCGGATTAACGACTTTTGACTGTATTAGTTTATGCAGAAAAATATTTCGATCATATGTTAAAAAATATGTGTTTCAATATTGTGAAACTTGAAAAATAGTATATCTAGAACAATTAATAGAAACAGTAATAGTATGTGCAATTTATTTTTACCTTTGAAAATAGATGAGTTAGAACACAACAGAATTTATACATGGAGGCAATGATAACAGTGTATTAAGTCGCAGCACTTTAGATTGAGCAATAGGGTATACTGAAGACAAGGATGTAGATGGGAGGACGAGATAGTCTTTTAATGTATTAGTGTCATTTTTAACGGTTGTATGAAATCTTTAAATCATTCCAATTCTGCAGGAAGGCTATAGATTGCTGTACACATATTACCTGAATGAAGTGAAATAATCATGTTTCTTGCTCTACGATTAAGAACCAATGAGTAGGTTATGTCAATTATTATTCACATTCGATGTGCATAAAGTGCTATTCTATCTGTGGCTTATATGAGCTAACAGAGTGTTACATCTGTTGACTAGCTCTGCTATACATGAAGTTCAGATTTTTCAACTCGGATCACTATGAGAAAAAAACTGGTTTCGGAGCTGCAGCTATGCTAGATGTCTCTGGTAGCTCAGATAAACCCCAATGTCAAAAGTATTTTTTTAATACTGTAGTCAATTTTAATAAAGTTTGCAAAATTTAATTGTATATTATTCAACAGGTTGTTAAGATTGACATTTTCGAGAAAGGAAAGATATTCATCTGAATTGGCTCATTTTTATTGAAATTATAGTTCAATGTGAGTATTTGAATTAATATATTTATGTTCTTTGTATATGATATTGCTGATTTGATTGATTAATGGCAATGCATTAAGGCTGATGTTATTCACTCACATTTTTCTACAACATAGTTTTGTTTCGCCTTGTTTTTTTACTTATTACTCCCCTCTTAGGCACTACACGGAAAGGGGGGGTTGCCCTGTGGAGGTCCTTTTAAGGGAAAGTGGCTCGTATCCACGTTACACATGGGGAAAACCATGAAAATGCCCATGCAGCTAGCTCATTCGCTTGGACTTGTACCCCGGACCAAACTACCTGTTTTGAGCACCTTTTACTGCTCGGCTGCTGGTGTGCCACAATATGAGTTTGTGACCTTTTTTTTTTTTTTGGTAGGGAGTTATTTAGAATTGGAATTACTCTGAAAATTAAGATTACGGTGATAATCTATTTTTAATTATATTTTATGTAGAAATTTAAGTGATATTCTTTATATAACTAGAGTTACTTTGGTCAAAGCATTTGCATTTCCTTTTTTTGTGCTATTAGTGTAGCCATGATGTTTAGGAATTCATATTCTATAAGTCTGTTATCTTTAAGTTCTCTTCTCAGTTTTTCTGCTAAAGGATGATATGTTATTCTAGAATTTCGTGTCCCAAACTGTTCTCGGTTAAAATTGGAGTAGACTTAAGGCAGATAGTGTCTGAATGCTTTGCCTCATTGAAATAATCCTAATTGATGCTTAACATAGTGGCTGGTAATGCATAATTGTTAATGGAATTTTTAAACCGTTTTAGATTTTAAAAATATATGACAATTATGAGGGAGATTTCGTGGCTGCTCGGAGTGTTTAAAAAATTCTTATAAGCTATTACTGAATTTTATTTTATTGGTGATAATATTATCAATTTAGGTTATAGTTCAAAAATCAAGGTATATATACTCACAGTATTTGGGACGCAACGTCAATTTTTATATGACATCATAGAACATTTTTCATCCTAAAAAATATCATCATATTGTTCCTGTTGCTAAAATATTTCCCTTACAAGGTATATTGAAATATAATTTCATTTTCTGATACATTCTTGTTATCACCATTGTTTCTAATTCTCACAAACTCTTTCAAAAAATATCACTAGTTTAAATATCTGAACATTACAACACCACTGTCAGTTGCATAGAACTTCTCCCAGGTTGTATTATTTGTTATCATCCAAAAGGCCATCCTGCAAATCCAGCTTGTTTGAAGTAGTAGACAGTTATTTTCAACTTTGTTGATAATCATGTTGTATTCAGTATTTCCCTTTCTTACAGAACAGAAAGTTTAGGATCAATATTTTAAATGAATTTCTGAAAGCTTTTTCTGATAAAAACACCTAGTTTTCATGGCCTCCATCCTTTGTTTCGGAATACTGATGTTGAGTTCAAGGGAAGAAAATATAATTTTATGGTAAAAAGAAGATTCTCTATAAGCTTGTAAGCCACACAGCTATGTAAAATGTATGAGACTCATTATTAAATCTCAAGTTAAATTTAAATAATGTCTTTCAGATACAAAGCTTGCAATTTAAACTTCCAAATTTGCTGCATAAACAGATATGAGATTGGTGATATGAGGTTGGTGATTTGAGCTTTCAGATTGCTGTATAAATGGCAGGCAAAAACTTTTATTCCTTAAAAACAAGCAGGCTTTTCCTCCTTGCCAGTTGTTGAAAGTTTTATTTTCTCCTATTCTAACTATATTAGTACAGAGCAGTTATCACGGCTACTTTACTATGTGTTCTGTACCTATACTCTTCACCTTTAAAATCTGAAGTCTTTATCAATTCATAATAAGTGTAGTTCCACTGCAGTTTAATGTTTTAGAAGCTTTATAACCCATCGTCACATCCTTTAAGGCATTTTTTTTCTTTGATCTTCGATAGCATTACATGGAAGAGCACTTTCTCTTTTCTTGTATATAGATAGATTTGATTTTGTTTTGTAAAACTGCACAAACCAGCCTGTTCTTGATTAAAATCCATCATGCTCAAGATTTCTGATAAATTTCTGCGGTGTTTCTTGCAGTATTGAATTTCGTCTAGTAATTAATTTCTCTTTTAATTTTAACATATTCAATGTCTTTAAAATTAGACCTTCTTAACTCTTTCTGAAGAATGAACATAAGATTCAAAAGTTAAAATATATAAGTTACAAAAGTAGTAACAGCTGCCACAGGAATGTTATGTCCTTTTGTGGTTTGATTGTTTTTTGTAATGAAGTTTGCAGAGAACTTCATTTTATGTGCTGACGTGTTTAATATTCTCCTGGGAGCCATTATCACACTCGCAAGTAAATTGCATAAAATTTAGTGAAAGTGCTTGTTTCCAAACTTAAAATTACTATGAAAACAAATTTTGGAATAAAATTTTCAAAGTGCCTCACCCTATAAAAATGTCATCGATTACTTTGTTTTGCTTGCTAATGAGAGCCGTACCAGTAGCCAAGTGCTTATGACCACCTAATGCTGGTTTAACATTTGCTTGAACTCAGACAAACAGTCTGGCTACATGGTTGGTTTTCATGGTTTCCTTCATGAGTTGTATGAACATGAGCCAGTTTCATCTAAAAGTCCTCCACAAAGGCATAACCTTTAAGGTTTTGTGCCAGAAATCCCACAACCAGCCTCCACGAAGGCATCTCTTATAAAAACTGTAGCACTTATCTCTAATTTTTGCTAAAACATATTATATTAAAAAGTGATTGTTTAATTCAAAGGGTTGGCCTTTATTAAAATGCAATAAAATTATCTAAATTTTTGAACTTCCATGATTTTCTGCTGGATGAAATTTTTCCAATTGCACAGTTATAATTTCTTTTTCTATAAGATTTGCAATATATTTTTCTGTGACTAGTGTGCAAATTAAAACATAATCTGTAATCGTAAATTAAAAAATAAATAATAATGTAGGAAAAAATAATGCAAATAATAAATAATAAAAAATAATAAAAGTAATTGTGGGTAACGGTTTTGCTAATAGTGAATAGGAGAATGCTTGTAAGTAGAATAACTGAATAAGCCTGGAAACCAATAGTCATTTTTCAGACAATTTTAATAAAATTTTATGGTGATCAATGTGTTGTATATATTTTGTGCTAGTGAAGAATATAAAAGAACACATGTAATCATCAAACAAATTTATTTTTAAAATATGTTAAAGACAGTAAAGTAAACACAGGTTATCTACGTAAATAGAATATTAGAATTCTTGTTCTAAATCATTGAAGATGTATTTATTGGAAAACACTGAAGACGTCTGAAGTCCAGTTCTTAATATTAACTTGGTCCAAATAGAATCTGAACCATTTTCACTCCAGGTGGTTCATTCTCATGATATCATATAGATGATTATTGCTAATTGCTAAGGAATCTGGTGCCCAAGCCCTGGCAGCACTACGGAAAAAAATAAATATGCAAAACATGCATAGATAAGTTGGTAAGGCATTAAATTCAAATTTACAACATTTTGAACGACATCAGTTGGGAACTGATTTGTCTTATTACTGTACAATTCTTTTCTATGTAAATTACAGTCAAAAGCCTGTAACAAACTTGCCTTTTAATGAACCCTCACATATAATGAACATTTTCGCCTTATCCTTTTTTGTGTACACTTAAATGTGGCTTTATACTGCAAAACAGAATTTCAAATATATGAAATCATATTTAATGAACTTTATGGGATATCTTTGATTTAACCTTTTTCGGGGTTTGTAGCGGTCCTTATAAGTCCTTATATTTAAAAATAAAATATAAATGCCCTTATAGGTGCTTACTTTTCCTTTAAAGCCCTTATTTTTTTTGTTTGTTTTTGTTTTTAGTGCTCATTTTTTGCTTTTAGTGCTTTTTTTTTTTAATGAACGTGCTATTTTTCCTCGTACCAAAGCCGAAACTAAATAAAAGACTTTTTCTTCCTAATATGGAATGTCAGATGGTGAATCATACTTCCAGAAATAGCTTTTCCCCCTTTCTCTGCATTAACATAATCTCTGCATGCATTCTATTGGTCAAAGAATTGCGAAAGCAGTAGAAAATTCCGGTACATTCGGCATTCTTTTCCTTCCACTCAAATACTACACACGTTTGAATTTCTATCAAGATCTTAAACATTTGCATTCTCGTTCTGCTTTGTCAGTTCATATTCGTGTTTATTATGATCATTATGCTTATATTATGAGCATATGTATGAATGTTTATAATAACGTAGTTGCAGTAACTGCTGAAGTATAGTAAACTTCCAAAAATGGTTGTCTTTTAACACAGATTAGCTTTCTAAGGAATAATATGGCTTCTAAGGAATAAAATGGCTTAAATAAAGGGAAAGTAATCGAATAGTCAAAATAATTTCATTTTTTTGGCCAATACATTATACAGTACGAAGGTTGGGAGGTCTCCCTTTTCTCCGCAAAATCTTGAATATTGAAACTCTTACAGTTCGCTGCAAAACAAGCAAAGGACCTTTTTCTTTCTTTCTTTTTTTTTTTTTTTTGTCACTTTCTAATCTGGATTGAATAGGACTAAAAGTTCTGCTGTCTACTAACCCAAGCAAAGAATGATTCTATTCCAGAAATTTAACGCCGTCTGTTGAAAATTAGAACGAAAAACGCCAGTTATTTAGTTCTTTATTCTCCCAATACCGGCAGTTGTCGATTCCGATTGTGTAATATCACGTAGGGAAGAATTACGGTGCGCGTATTGCGCAGAGTAACGTTTGCGATATTTTGCAGAGATAATTAATTTTGATGTTCAGTTCAAGATTTGTTTATGAACACTTTAAAGAGTTTTACTGTGCTTGCCAAGCAGAATATTTTTTAGTTCCATTGGTATATTTTTATATGATGCACATATTGCAAAGATGTCAAAAAGCATTTATTTAGCGGAAAAATCTAAAGAGCGGCTACAAGTCTACTCCCACCTCCGCTCCTTCAAGTTACGCTCTACTGTCCGAATATTCGCCAATTTCCAAGTATGCGAGTTAGTTAAGCTTTTGCTGTTAAAGGATGACTGCATGAAGTAAAATTTCTGTCTTCTGATTTCAGAAATGTTCCTCTTTTTACTTAAATACTTTGCTTGCAATATCTGTTAAGGGAAAACTGATATACAATGAAAATTTAGAAAATGTTCAGAATTTAGATTTAAATTATTTAAATATCAGTATGAGTGGAAAAATAAATTGTATTTATTATTAAGTTCCAAGCGAATACAATAAATATGCCTTATTATTATTTATTTCCTCTATTTTGAACTGAAATTTCTTCATTAAATCTTGTAATATAGTTTAGTTCTTAAATTTTTTTCCTCTAATTTTAAACTAGTTCTGTAAATTGAACTATTATTTAAGATTAAAAACAAAAAAAAAGTAATTATTTTCCATGGTTGAGGTAATGCTTATTCTCTCTTAATAAGTACTGCATTTCTCGTATTTTAAATTACAAGTCTAATTTTTAAGGTTATGCAGTTGTGTATGATGTAATTAGACAGGTGCTTATTTTTTTCTTAAAATGTGCTTGAAAAGTGCTTATAGGTGCTTATTTTTTTAACTAAAATGTGGCTATGAACCCTGTTTTTTGTATTTTTTGATATGTTTCCCAGAATTTTTGCAAGTTTGAGTTGAAAATTTACCAATTCTTAAAATCATTCATGTTTAGGATGTTAAGATCCATATTCCATTGATGCAAGGATAGAGGAAATAGCTTTATGGTTATGCAAAGCAAGTCATTTTGCTCTTGAATGCTATGCAAAGCAGTTCATTTGCTGGTCTCTATGTGATTCTTAAATGCTATGCAAAGCCAGTCTTATTCATGGAGAACCAGGACACAGAATAAGTAAATCTTAAAAGGTAGTATATAGTGTTCGTGATCATTAAGGCAGAGAACTTGTATGGGCTCTCTGATTCAATTCAAGTACTTCAGTTGAATTTTCAGATGGAGTTATGATTGGAATTTTGAAATTTTTGCAATTTAGGGAAAGAGGAAGTCGTTACAATAAAATTCCAGAAATCCGCAAAGCTTGGGACCAAAGGTTGTGCGGATTTTAGGATTTTGCGGATTTCAGAACAGAAAAGATAAATCATAATATTCAGACTAAAAGTGCAAAATAAATAAGGCATATTAGATACATTTAATTAAATTATTATACACTATTACAATAATTTATTATGTACATTAATTATTACATATATAAATCGATTGTACTATATGTATTAGTATTCAATATTAGTATTCATTTACATTAGTGCTTACAGGGATATTTAAAAGCATTAGGGATGTATATAATAGACATAAAAATAGGGGATATTAATAAAGCATAAAATATTTCATTTTTTTCCTACATGTTTCAAACATTTTTCTGATGGAGGTTTGTTTTAAAACTTTAGGGTGCTCCGGAGTTTTTTTTTTTTTTTTTTTCCCTTTTTGTAAATTATAGAGTCATAATCTCTTGCTCTGTGATACAGCTTTGTTCTAAAAATTTTAGGTATTTTTCACCATGTTCCAGACCCTCATTAAAAGATATTTTCTCACTTCTATCAAATTCACTATCTGTGTTGGTGTCAGAATTGTCTTCTTGCTCTAGCGAGTTCAAAACAGAGCCAATGATTTCATCATCAGTCATCTGATATGCCAGTGTTGGCTCATCTGAACACATCATCCATTCAACAATATCTTCTTTTTGCAAAGCCTCCTCATTTATTTTTTCTTTTGAAGATAAAAGCAATCCTTGCTGCACTGACCCTAAAACCAGAAAAATCACTGTTCTCACTGTCAGTTTCAATAAACAGAGAAGATGGCCATACATTATGCCAGGCATTTACTAATGTCGTTTGGGAAACAGAATTCCATGATTCAGCTAATAAATAAATGCAGTCTTTGATTGTGAATTTTTTTTTTTTTTTTTTTTTTTATAATCACAAAGGGGAATAGAAGGGTCACCTGAAAGAATTTTTTTCAGAAATTCTGATTTATAGTGGCATTTAATACTGTGTATTATGTCCTGGTCCATTGGTTGGATCAATGATGTAGTATTTGGGGGCAAAAAAAGGTCCATGGCATTATCATGTGTTAAAATACTTGCATCTGGATGTGCAGAGCAGTTGTCTAACAATAGTAAAATCTTGCAATTTGATGGTAACCCCACACAATGCCTTCAAGTCTCTTTAATGAAATGCTTCATGAACCATTCAGTCATAAGTTGTTTTGTGAACCAGGAATTTTTATTACTCCTGTAAATCACAGGTAAGGATTTTACTCTTTCAGAGCTCTGGGATTGGTGCTCTTACCCACTACCACTGGTTTATGTTTTTAAGTTCCAGCTGCATTGCTGCATACCAAAATGGTAACTCTTTCTTTAGCATCTTTCACCCCTGATGGTGCACTTTCTTCGCTTGTCACAAATGTCTTTCTTGGCAAACATCGCCAAAAAAGTCCAGTCTCGTCCATATTAAATACCTGTTCTGGGCTAAGATTTTCTTCTGCCACTAACACAGAAAACTCATCAATAAACTCCTCTGCAGCATCTTTATCTGCTGAAGGTTTTTCCCCACATGCTTTCAGATAACATATACTGTATCTCTGTTTAAATCTGTTTAGCTAACCGCTGATGAAATTGCACGGCTCCTCTATCTTTAAATCAGCATGAATCTGCTTTGCCTTTTCTCTCAGGAATGGTCCTGAAATCGGTACTCCATCACTCCACCGCTGCCGGAAGCACTCGTACAAGACAGCATCGAGGTTTGCCGATTTCCGGTGTTAGAATCACTGTTGCTGTAAAATTTCAACAGTTTTTCTTTATTTTTCCGTGTATCATACACAGTCCAAAACGCTATTCCATGTGATTCTGCTATAAAGCGAGGAGTAGCACCTGCCTCCATCTTTTGCAGAATTTCCACTTTTTGCATTACCGTATATGCAACAATTTTACGTTTTTCAACGTTGCAAACAATAAAATCATGAGTGCATTTCTTATCTGTCATTGTATTAACAAGCGCTGAAATTTAAAATATTCTAAATTGATCCACAAAATATCCAGATAAAAAAAAAATGGCAGCACTAAACAATCTCGTGAAATAACAAAGTTCAGAAAATACAACAACGTGATTTGTGAACTTGAAAGAAGAGTTGAGTGAATCGTCTGCTTCTTTACCTCGATGTAGATTCCAGGGGAAAAACACTTTTATTTTATCATAATGTCAATAATTTGCTATTTCTGTTGTGACTATTATTATTCGGTAATTATGATGTCATTATTCGGTAAGTATTTTTTTTTCGATATTTGACTCCATGTTGTGGTTTCCGGACCTATAAACTCAATGTTTCTATTTTGAGAGGCAACGCGGATTTCAGGCCAGCGGATTTTCGGGATTTGACCATAGTAGGTTCTTATGAGCACAGGATGATGCACGTGATTTTCCTTTTAGAGTATGTAGGTTTCATCTTATTAGTTTTTTTTTGTTGCAGTATTTGAAAGGAGGTTGAAGTTCTGTGTTCTGAAGGGGAAGGGGTTGCATTCTTTAGATCTTTTACAAGCTTTAGGATATTCTTTATAATGGCTAACGTACTTTTGCTTTTGGGTTAAAAGAAAGCCTTCTCACTGGGCATTGTATAGGACAGATTAGTGATGGAATTCAGTTCTCTTTTCATACCTTCCAGAATATGATGACACTATATTATTGTTTTATCTAACACCTTTTATGTTGAACAGAAGAAATGTTCAGTTAGAAAATTAATATTAATGTTGAGGTGTACATGTATAGTGTTCTGTTAAAGCACTTGATTTTACATAACTACTCTTTCATTATGAGTGTGAAACTAAGAAAAAAATTGTATCTGTTTTGAATTAAGACTGGGAGAAACTGATATTTGTCATGTAAGTAGAAGCAAACAGATATATTATTATGAGATTTACCTTTCTATTGTTGTAGTAGGTGTAACAGGTGCATAAGTAGGAAACTGTTGGTGTGGCATCAGTGCAGGATTGAGCCTGGTGTTCTTCAGGAACTGGAAGCTCTCTTTCTTGTTCAGCTGGCAAATAAATTTCTTCTTCAGGACGTGGATATTCAAAATCTTGTACAGGTAATTCTAATTCATCAGGATAATCAATGTCTTCTTCTGGATCTGGAAAATCTTCTGGGACAGATGGTTCTTCGTGAACAGGTTCTTCAGGAATGCTAAATTCTTCAGCAGTTTGTAAATCTGAAATAATGGGTAATTCTTAAGCTTTAAATTGTTGAGGAACAAGTGAAAATATATCAATGTGTATATGGACAAAGTAAAGCGAGTGCGCAATGCCAAGTTTGTACAATTCTCTGATTTTTTTAAAGTTAGAATAGGTAGACGTGTACATTGATAAAGTAAATGCCTAGTTTGTGCAATTCTGTGACTTTTTTAAAAAATGAAAATAGGTCAGTGTGTACTGCTCCCAATGAAACTGTCGAATTAACAATTGAGTGAGACTAGCAGTATGAGGCCGAGCATTGTCATGGAGCAACACAATTCCTTTACTGAGCATTCCTCTTCGTTTGTTTTGAATGACACGTCTTAGTTTTGTTAAAGTCTCACAATATTGTGCCGCATCAATGCTTTCACCTCTGGGAAGAAATTCAGTAAGCAAAACGCCTTTCCTATCCCAGAAGACAGTGCACATGATTTTTTGTGATGACATTGTCACTTTGAACTTTTGTTTTTTCGGAGAATGAGTGTGTCTCCACTCCATCGATTGTTGTTTCGATTCTGGTGTGAAATGACACACCCAAGTTTCATCACCTGTCACAATTTGGTTTAAAAAGTTTTCTCCCTCATCACTGTACCGCGTGAGAAATGTCAGGGCACTACCAAGTTTGCTTGTTTTGTGAACATCAGTGAGCATTTTTGGAACCCATCGGGAGCACAGTTTGCGATAATTCAAGCGGTCAGAACACAATTTCGAAAAAACAGTACGTGAAATTTCTGGAAATGCCTCTGAAAGAGTTGTCATTGTGAAGCGTCTGTTCTCATGAATTGCTTCATCAACTTTCCTTACCAAATCATCGGTGACACAACAGAAGGCCGACCACTCCTGAGCCTCGGCGTGGACATTTGTTCGACTGCATTAAACATTTCTTACCCGTTTTCTCACATTCCATCACTTGTCGCGTATTCACCGTAAACTTCTGTCACTTGACGATAAATTTCGGCGGTTTAACATTCCTCCGTTCAAAAATTTAATCACGGCACGAATCTCACAGTCAGCGGGAGAACTAATTATCTTAGACATTTTGAATGTGCACAGCAAACTGAAAACACAACATAGAGCAACCAAAATGGCGACAATTGAAAGTCAGTGAACAAGAAAGACTAGTGTGCATGCGCGAGACACCTACCACAGCGCTGCGACGGCGCTAGAATGAAACGGTACGTAGTTTCCGAATACGCTACGTATATTGCCAATGTAATTAATTAGAAATATAAAGTTATTTAGAAATTTTTTCCTATTGGAAACTTCCCCGACACGAATTTTGCATGTAAACCAAAATAAACTAAATACAATCTATAAAAATACAAAAATAATACCTAAAAGGCAATTAAATAGTACCTAAAAGGCAAGTAAATAGTTAGTTTTAATTTAACTTACCTTGTAAGTACATATTTTGCATTGTGGAGAGTGGAGTAGCATTTGTTAAACAAAGTGAGGTTGAGTAGTTTGTTTCTGCTAACTGTATTAATAGAGGGTGCTAGTACTATGAAAAACTCGTGTTGTAAACTCTTAAGTAATGTAAAATGCTTGTTCTGTGTGAAAAATGTTGCTAAAATGTAAAGGATTGTAAAAATATTGCAGACTGTTTGGATCGTGAAACTATATGTTGCAAACTGCCACGTTTGAAAATTTTTAATGAATTAAAAGTTCAAATAAACATTTTAGTTGAATTCAATTAAATTAATTTATGCGATGGCACAAGAGAATTATTTAAGTTTAATTTAACTTTACTATTTATTCTTATGCACATCTTTACGTACACATGTGCATACATTCATACATTTCTGAATCAAGTCCTGATAACAGAACAGTACCATTGGTCATAAACTGCTTTGGATTGTATGCTTGTTGCTCACCAATGAACTACCTCTTTATCATCTTTTCCAGAAGATTAATGGAAATACATCTGGGACATAACAGTTTTCTGGAACAATCGGCAGATCTCTGAAAACATGTAAAACCCTTCCCATGACAGGTCATGTCCCTATTCTAGCTGATCTATCCAAAATTGACAAAAACGACTTCCTTGATATTTAGGCAATGTCCTCAGGGGAGTGCCCTTCAGACTTAGCAAACAGGATTCCTGGCCAGATGGCCCACTCAATATGGCTCACAACAGCCAACAGAATTCTTTGCCTTCATGTACCAACAGATGGCTTGAAGTTACTAGCCAAATATAATATAAACGTTTATGTGCCATCCTTATTTGAAATAAAGAAAATCCCCAGAGCAACACATGGAGCACATCATGTTTACGGAATGATCAAGTAAAGTTCATTGTTGCCAGAAACTTTAAAGCAATTTTTCACGAAATTATTCAGAAGAACTATTATTTTACTCACTGTGTTGGCAATGTTGGAAGATGTATAAGTATATATTCATGAACTTGGCCTGAGAAGAATACTGACATTAAGAAAAACTGACTTAAAGATGAAATTATGACAATTTGTGCTTCCCAAATTGAATTTCAAAGTAGAAGAGTATTTTGAGATGATTCGTTGGGACAATCCCTAGGAACCACTGGCTACCTTGAACCTCAGTGCTCCCTTGCCATTCTCAAGTACGGTACAAAGTCCGTAATCTGGATGTCCATTATCCGGAATGATCTATAATATCGACCTCAAACCCACAAACTTACGTATGCACGTTTAATGCGCGCATGCGCGTAAACCATTTACCCATGCGCGCTTCTGATAGAAAGTGACAGAGAGGTTATTGAAAACAAACAAATTTCGATTGATAAGTTAGTCGGTATTCTTGACACAGCAATTACAAGACTTGAACAGTGGAACTTTGTAACTGAACAAGAAATTGTGTCTGTTTATAAAATTAAAGAGGAAGTATTAGCACAAAAAACGAAGCAACTTAAACAACTTACGTTGAAAGAAATGTTTAATAAGGTAAATAAATAAATATTAAGCTTTTTTTTTGTAAATTTTGATACCCTTTAGATCATAATTGTTCTTTATTTCATAAATTATGGTTTCATATTTTTAATTGCATAATTTCTGCATGCCATCTCACCAGATTTAAATTGATGATCTATAATCTGGAAAAAACCCTAATCCAGAATCGCTGAAGTCTCGACGAGTCTGGATTACGGACTTTGTACTGTAGTAGATAGGCATGTGAGAGACTGGAGACAGAAATGTCATTGGCAACATGTGGTGCAGAAGCCAGGGATGGAATTCATACACAGTTGAATCAAGTCTTGGAAACTTATGAAGGTCGGCACCAACATAAATTTCTTCAGTTCTCTTGTGGAACCTGAAGATGATGAGTGATTAAACTGAAACTTTTTTAATGACATTTTTTTACCAGGAAGCAAAATTGTTGTAAAAAAATTGTTAAAGAATAGTTTGATGTTTTCATTAACATTAACATTGATTTTTTTTTTTTTTTTTAATTTACCTCGTGGAACCCGAAGATGATGAGCTATTGAGCTCCGATCCCCCCCCCCCTATCGGACAGAACAATTTGTTGAGTTAGGAAATAATAAAGTTTGAAAAAAAAATTTTTTTTTGCCTTTTTTACTCCAACCTAATGCTTGCCTGAGGCCCAATGAAATAAATTCTCCCGTATATTGAAGGCAGTGCTTTTTCCATTGGGTGTCTCCCATGCATTTTGGTGGGTTATTTAATTATAAACAGTTTCTAGTTATAAGAATAGTTTTATGGCAGACACACTACATGGCAGATGATGGCCGATAGATCATCACCTGCCATGTGCCAAAAAAAAAAAAGGCCTTATCAGAACAAATCAGTTGTTCTTAGTTGAAATAGCACTAAATAGCCTACTAATATCTTTTAAAAAATCTCTCTTTACAAATGTCTGTTAAATTTCTCCTCGACAACACACTTAGCACTTCATCTTACTGTTAGCTGGAATTTGTAATCACAGAGTGCAATGCCACCATAAAAGGTTACCAGCCTGGTTAAAATTAGATATTAGGTTATTCTAGATATTGGGAATCCGAATTTGTACTGTATAAAGGAAGCAAATTTCTCTAAAATTTATGGTGTCAAGTTTTTACTTTTATTTCTTTTCTTGGGAGTTTTCTTACTCATGTGGAATACGTTCATGCTCGAAGAGGCAGTAGTGAGTATTGGATGAAAAAACATCTTTACTTTTTCCAAATCAGTGGTATAGCCTATTACTGTACTGGAAATTAAGGTCTTTTTTTAAAACTTAAGTCAAGCGCATTGATACATTTAACATGATGGTGAAGACTTTGATCTAATTTCAAAATGAGTTGCAGACCAGTGGCGTAGCGAGAGGGGGCATCTGCCCGGGCGGTACTTTGCTAGGGGCAGCGAATTCCCTATCAAATAAATATTAAGTAGATTAGAGGAAATTCGACTCCACAAAACAGTGAAGTCGAAAACATCTGCAACGACACGCAGTGCGGCAACTACCATGCTTTAACTGTTAAAGGAGTCATCCCATCTAAGTATCCGTATTTAATGTTTCCATTTGTATTTACTCTAGCATTCGTAGTTTCTAGATTCTATCCCTTTTCCCATTAGAAAAAGAGGGAAACTGCACTGCGTAGCTTATTTTAACTCTTTCTCATCGAGAGAGGGCTAGATCTCTTTTACTCAACATCGAAAACGCCCATGTCTATGAATTTCTTCTGGACTGCTTTTACTTCCCCCCATGACAAATTGAATACTATAGCACTAGCAATAACTTACTTAAGTAAAGCGAGAACTTCTTTCTTGGAACTACGCTTTCACTTTGTATGAAGTTTCCCCTTGGGACGGGATTGCAACTTTGGACATCAATAGCTAAACATTGACAGTAAACAAAGGAAAAAGAAGATGTATTAAGATAACAGAAATACTTTTAGTCACTTTAAAAGAATCACTGACACATCATTTAAACCTGAAACACCTGAAAGCAATGAGCAATGCAGTAACATGAGGGGGGAAAGAACTAAGTAGAAAATTATTCAGGCATTCCGGGCAAACTGCCATTGTCCAAATGCTCAGGTGTGCGACTTCGATGTGAAAGCGCGTACCTTTAAATTCACCCTCAGTTGAGTGACTTAAAAAATCCGTTGTATCTAGGATGTTTAAAATGTCATCTCGAGGTTGCGAAAATTCGTAGAATGTCAGTATTTCTTATTTCGCATTTTTTGGTTGTACTACGGGTAGACTTAAAACCAAAATAAAATATGTTGCTCTACTGAAGCATTGTGTCTTTTTGATAGCGAAAGATACATCATTAAGTGCTAAGAAAATTTCTTCCAAAGCAAGCATATACACGATTTTTTTAGCATATACACGATTAGGGAGGAACGATTTTTTTTTTTTTTCTTTTTAAAGCTGAACTAAATCATCAAAATAAATAAACAAAAATTGTTCTTTTCGGCAAGAGCTCAGTTAGTTAGATTCTTATAGTGTTAGTGTTTGAAAGTTGTCTTTGAAAAGTAACTATCAAACATGGAAAAAATTTTACTTTTACGACAGTTTTTGTTTTAAACAACAGATATTGCAGGATGCTTTTTTAATACACGCAGTGTGTGAATTTAGGAGGTGGACGTAGAAGCGGATTTCGTTTTTGAGTATCAACGTATTAGTAGGTGAGATGAAAGAAAAGCAGATTTTCCCGTTGGGTATATTTTCCAATCTCCTGGCAATGTGAACGAAGGGTAGGGGGTCAGAGATGGCCAAACAGTGATCCTTTGAACGGATGATACCCCTACACAAAGGACATAGAGGATCTGAATAAGCATTTAGGAATGGTCTTGGGGAGAAATACATGCTGGCGGAAGACAGCATGTATTTCAGCTGTCTGTTATTGTAAACTGTTATTGTCCAGATGTTACTTGGAAGAGAAGACGTGGGAATCAGGAAAAAAAATAATTAAACACAGTGCAAGAAAATAGTGATTCTGTTTTCTGTTGAAAGCCTCGCAAAGCTTTGCATTTACATCTGCATTCTACTAGCTGTATTTATTTCTAACAAAATCAGAGAACTCATTCTAAAATTTCAGATAAGTTTTGTTAAATCTTTTAAATTATTTAACAATGAAATGTACAATGTATATGTAGAGAAAATATATTGGAATTAATTGCCATTCTTTTTCATATAAGTCTTTTAATACTTATAGTATGAAATAATTTAATTTAAAAAATATCTTGTGTTTTTACCTTTCTAAATTTATCACATTGTGAGTGTTTTCTGAGTCTCAGTTTTTGATATTTATTGATTAATGAATACAATGGTTATAATAATTAAGTAACTGTAGTACTCTTATGTTTGAATAAATATAAGCACTGAAAAATCATCAAAACATTATTTCAGAAATAGTATTTTTTCTGCATATAATTTTGTGTGCTGTAATATCATTGGTTTGATTATTGAGAATGCTTGTAAAGTTGAAACAGCGTTTAAGTGATAAAGAAATAAGGTACCCAATGAGAGAGATGAAAACGTAAAGTGGATGCATTGTTTTCATTAAATATGGAAGCAGATTTATTATGCGAAATAAATTTTGAAACTTTGATCAAAGAATTTCCAATCTTGAAAAGTAGAAGAAAGTATTTTAAAACATAAATTTAAATGATCCTTTTAAAATAATAAATATCACCTGAACACAACTTTTAAGTTTAAAAAGTTCAAGATCTAGAAAACTTAAATATTTACATTAATAATGAATAATATTAATAACAACGATCGAATCATAATAATAATTTAATTTTTCTTGTTATAGCATCTAAAAATGAAAAGAGTAAGAGAAAGTGGGGCTTCATATCGAAATAAAAGAAAAGCCAAGGAAGAAAATAATAAAAATAAGAAGGGGCTATCCTAAAATACGTGAAAGTTCCTATTTCCAAAACGCCAGATTCATCCACTTTGGATGTCAATTCTTCCGATACTTGCTGATGCTGTTGAAAATCAAAAAGCTGAAGTAGTGCTAGAACGTTACACTGATGTTTGGGTACCTGTATTTTATTCTTCGAGTTTGTCAGATTCACAGGCTCCTGTTGTAGATGTGAAGGTAGCAGCACTCAATCAAATTCCAACATCTACTAAATTTGAACTTGTATTGGTATGTTCAAATATAGTTATTGATAGTTTTGAGAGTGAGACTGATGAAGCACTGACATCGGCTTCTACTCAGTACAGGGATTTAGATGATGTTGGAAAATGGCCTGAACATATGAAAACATTAGATTGCTACTTGTGCAGCGAGGTCCAGAGGTTGTACAGCACATGAAGACTAATTTCACTAAAGTGTCATCAATGTTACAATTAGACACACAAATCGTACTACACCGAATGGAGTTACGAGGCATCTAAAGCGAAAATGGTTTTATCGCACATTAACTAATGGAGAAAAAGTGTTGCATAATTGGACGGCTTATTCTCCTTCTTAAGCATCATTATTTTGCTTTTGTTATCATTTGTTTGGTCACACAAACCTACCGAGTGAATCAAAATTTTGCTCATCTAATTTTTTAAAAATTGGCATAAACTAAATCCCAAAGTAGCCAACCACGAATCTGCTTAACACAACCAAAATTTTTGCAAATGGAAGAAATTAAAAACCAGACTTCAAAAATGACAGACTATTGATAAAAAAATATATGTTGTGGCAAAGGAAACAAAAGAGTGGGAAGAAATTCTTGTTAGAATGTTTGATATAATTAAATTCCTAGCAAAACAGAATTTGGCCTTTCGTGGCCACAGGGCAGACAATACCAGCGCAAATAGAAGCAATTTTTTAGAACTGGTGCATCTCCTTGCAAAGTACGATCCAGTACTCCGAGAACACATTGTGTGTAGGAAAATGGGTCCGAAAAATTCAGTCACGTATATGTCACCGCAAATTCAAAATGAGTTCATTGGAATTTTAGGAGATAAAGTTCTCCAATAAATTGTCTGTCAAGTACAAAAGGCCAAATATTATTCTATTATATTTGATAGCACTCCAGATATTTCACATAACGATCAAACAAGTCAAGTTGTGCGATATGTAAAGATTGAAAATCAGATAGTAGAAGTGGTGGAATCTTTTATAGATTTCATTGAAACCAAAAATAAAACTGATAAAATTATTTCTGGCATGATTTTAAGTAAGCTTAAAGCTAATGGCCTTGATATAATGGACTGCAGAGGTCAAACATATGATTGTGCTCTTGTCATGACTGGAAAGCATACAGGAGTGCATCAAAGACTCAAAGACATACATAAAAGCCAAATTTGTACCATGCTCAAACCATTCACTAAACCTGGTTTGTTTACATGCTGCTTCAATCGAGACCAATTCTGATGCATTCTTTTCCATGTCAACACACCGATGGGACATTCTAATTCGCTGCTACAGGTAAGACATTATGAAGAATTCAGGCTACACTATGCAGCGCCAAAACCTTAAGCAGTAGATATGGTATGGAAGCACTATAAGCTTATTTTGACTGCTCTAGAAAAATTGACAGAGGGAAGCGAAAAATTAAGCACATGAACAGATGCAGAAACTTTGTTCGTCGCAATGGAATCATTTTCTTTTTTATGTTTTTTGGGCTTTTGGAAACCCATACTGCATTAGGTAAATGATGCCCAAATTTATTTACAAACACAGGGATTCAGCATGCATCAGTGTGCCAAAAAAATAAGTGCTTTGGGGGCACTGCTCACAGAGAAACGAAATGAATTGGTAGACGGTGCTAAGAGTTATGGCAAAAATTTGTGTGAAGACATTGGCATTTTAATGGAACCGCCCAGACAAATAAAGAGAAAGGAAATTTTTGACAACGGAAGTAAAGATGGAGCTTTGTTGTATGAAAATGAGTTGAGAAGAAAGTTGTTTTCATCGCTGGATAAGGTAACTGCAGAAATTCATGAGAGGTTTCGACAGCTATGGAATTTGTCAAACAAATTTGCTTTTTTTACAGCATCGAAACTACTGGATGTTGAAAACCAGGATTTCAATTTAGAACACGTGTCTCATGACCTTGAGAAAGAAGAGTTAAAGCTCGAATGCGTGCGGCTAAAGACTTTTGTTGATGCTACAGGCAATAAAAATGAATTAATGAATTCCAGCCTGCTTGATGTGTTAAAGCTTATTGTACTATTTAAGCTGGATGTTTCCCTGCCTAATATGATAATATTGCTTTGAATATTCCTCACAATTGCAATAAGCAATGCCAGCTGTGAGAGAAGCTTCTCTAAACTGAAGATAATCAAAAATTAGTTACGATCGACACTGAGATTGACTAATCTGGCTGTTTTGGCTATTGAGCATGAAATGATGGATTCAATCTATATTGATAGTGCTATTAACGATTTTGCTATGAGGAAGAGTAGAAAACTGAAAATTTAAATTAAGAAAGGAGTTTAATTTCTATTTCTAATAGATAACAAAGGAGATAATCAAAAAGAAAATTTATAATTATTTTTACCAATTGTTTCTTTTCAATAAAAGATTAAATAAATTGTTACCTACATTTATTTATATTAAATAATTTTGTGTTCTGAAACTTGCTAAAAATGATTTTCTTCAATTAAAAAAATATTTATTATAGTGCAACAGTCATTATGTTTTAAATAATATTTATTAATATTTTCAATAAACAATAAATTTTCTCAAAGTACTAATACTGTTTTTAGATAATAATTAGTTAATGTTAGAATGTAAAACATATTTTTGTAATTAAATTTTGTTTTCGAGTTTGTAAAAGTTTTAAATTTTGGAGAAAATAAAATTCTCTTTGCAGGTTAATATTTTCTTTGCTCTAGAAAATTTCATCTTTATAATAATATTACATTTTGTAGCAAGAAGGGGTGGCAGAACCTATGCTACGCCACTGTCACAAACAGAATACTTATTTAAGGATAGGAAACATAACTATACTGTTAGTAACTTTTTAACTGAAAATTTGCTTGAATTTAAAGGATTTCATGGTAACAAAAAATAAAAAATATTTATTGAAAAAAAAAAATAGCCTTCTTTCTTGTTACCCAAGACTCTCGTATTTCAAAATAAAGTTTACGTAAGTTATAGAAAAAAAATCAGAAACAGAATTTATGATAAAAATGATTATCATATGTAAAAAAACTTTCATTTTTGACTTCCAATCATCTGTCCACATTTTATGTTTGTTTTGCACATAGATATGGAAATGTTTGTTTTAATTTTTTTTGGTGTACATGAGAAAAAAGAAATGTTTAAATTTTTGTTTAAGAAGTGTTCAAAAAGCATTTTAAAAACAAGAAAACACAGTTTACTGTTTAAGTTTTAAATGACATTCATTATTAGTGACTTTACATTAAAGAAAGTACAGCAAAATGTCTTAAATTATAAGCTAGCTAATGATCAAAAATTTTTTGACCAGTTAAAGCCGGTTTTGCAGGTCAGAGGGTTGATAACAGTTCTTTCATTTATTGAAAAGGAAGCAGAATTTGACAAGAGTTAAAAATAGAAGAAAGAATTTTTAAAAATTACAAGTTTGCATATTGGTAACTATTTTTACCATGAAGTTTTATATATCAGAGTTTGTGTTTTGTAGATCATGTAAACTGAATTTTATTTTCAAAATACTGAGATTGCATGAGCCTGATTCCCTGTAAAAAGAACTAGCACCCAAAAGCAAGATGATCTTTATCTTTGTTGGGTATGAGAAAGAATCTGAGAATTATCGACTTTTTAATACAGTCACTAAAACCACCAGTGTTTAAAAAAATATTATTTTTAATAAGGGAAATGCTTAGTCAATAATCCTGCCACCATTAACATTCTTAATCAATGTGTACAACAAGGATTCTACTGTTGAAGCAGAAGATGACATGCTTAATAGTCCTCCTAGCTCAAATAATTAAGCTAACCATTATAACCTTCAAGACATAAGTAGAGGCAATGAAATCTCTTCAGGCAGACTATTGGAATGAAACCATAAATGAAGAGATAATTTCTCTCAATAAAACTGACATGAGATCTTTTACCTCTTCCAAAGACAGGTAACAAAGTTGGATCTCTGAGTGAGTGTTCGAAGTAAAATATCTTTTGAATGGACAAACTAACAAGTACAAAACAAGACTTTGTGCCAAAGGGTTCTCTCAAGTAGAGGGAGTGGACTTCAGTAAAACCTTTTTACCAACTTCGAGTTTTGACACTATAAGAGTCTCATGAGCTATAAGTCGTACAGACAAAAGTGAAAGCTGTACAAATCGACATAAAAACTGCATTTCTGTATGGCGAAATTGAAGAAATAATATTCATGGATTCAATATTCATTCATATTCTTCAGGCTTAAACTATGCAAAAAACGTAGTGTGTCAGCTCAAGAAATCCCCATATGGATTAAAGACAAACATCTAGGTACTGAAACAATTCATTAACTCTGAACTGGAGTTGGTTTCAAGCAAAGTGTTGCTTATTCGTGTGTCTAGTGATATCTTATGAAATAAGAAAGTACTTTAACCCCTTAACTGCCGCGGGCGTATATATACGCCTTGCTCAGCCGATGCGTTAACTGCCTCAGATGCGCAGCCGATGCATTAACTTTGCGAATAATTTTAGGTGTAGAAGCGCAAAGCAAATGATAGCAGTTTGGAAGGACGTATATATACGCCTGGGGCAGTTAACGCATCGGCTGAGCAAGGCATATATATACGCCCACGGCAGTTAAGGGGTTAATTCTATATGTGAATGATACTTCATTGTTTTGTGAAGAGCAGAAATTGTAGATGACCCGAGAAGACGTTTTAAAGCAACAATTTGTAAAAGATGTTGTTTTGTTGGAATACAAATTGATTATAAAGCAGGTGACTCAATTTTCATACATTCAGAAAGCTGTATAAAGCATATTCTAAAACAATTTTGCATAAAAGATGCAAGTCCTAACACTGTACCTGCAGATCCTGGTATAATCCTATCATTAGAATCCAATCCATTACCAGATGGAAAAACTTTTCCTCACAGAGAAGGTATTAGATCACTAATTTTCTTTGCATCACTACATGTTCAGATATAGCTTTTGCTTTAAATGTGGTTAGTAGATTTCAAGCAGTCTTGGCCAAGTTCATTGGAATGTTGTAGAATGCATTCTCAAATACCTGAAAGCTAGAACAAACTATGGCATCGAGTATTCTCCAGTGGTTAATGATACTTGCTATCTTTTGGATACTCAAATTCAGATTTTGTTAACGATGTGGACAGAACAAAGTGAATTTTTGGTTATGCATTTAAACTCAGCAATGGTACGATAACTTGGTATATTCAAAAGCAATTAACTCTTACTACCTGTAACACTGAAGTTAAATGTGCTGCAGATTCAACTGCAGTGAAAAAGGTATTGTGGTTGAGTCAACTTCTGCAAGATTTGGGTGAAACTAAAATGTATAAAGATGGCATTGCTATCTTTTTGTGATAAGAATCTTATTAAGTTGATCAAAAAGCTTGTTTCACAAAGACACAAAACTTAGAAATGTGTGCTAACATGTTATTCATGAAAAATGAGAAGACAAATCTGTCATTATAAAGTGTGTGAAATCTTAAAAGCAGTTATCAGATATTTTCACAAAAGTGTTTCCCAAAGCAAAATTTTAAAGGTTGAGAGAATAAAGTGAAATTTTAAAGGTTGCTTAACATAAAAGATAAGACTCTCATGTGAACCTTAAATAGATTTGCATTAGTTAACATAAAAGATAAGACTCTCATGTGAACCTTAAATAGATTTGCATTAGTTAACACTTTTTTTTTTAGTATTTTTATTTTTGGTTTTCATTCAATAAGTAGTTCAGTTTCCTAGATACAAATTACCCTAGGATTGAGTTAGAAGATTTAATGGTGAATTATTAGAATGGCTTGGTTTGTGGAGTCAGTTCTCTGAAAATACATATGATTTTAGTTTAATTGCAGAAGACAGGTATTTGATTCAATCTGCTGAGGAATGTACCAAAGTTAGAGAGTTTTCCATCAACTGATCTAAATTATTCAGCAGTGATTGCAACCTTAAAAGACTGCTTCGGGCAAGAGGATATGTTGGTGGAGGTTTATATTTAGAACTACTGAAATTAGTTACTTAAAATGTTGCAAGCCAGTTCATTATGCTTACAGTAAAGTTAAAACAGGCTATGAGAGCACTCGTATGTTAGGCAGGTATTACTTCTGAAAAATGTGCATTATTATATTTCCTGATATGCTGTGATTACCGATATGTAAATTTGGCTTTCACTTTTCTATCATCTTGTCCATATTTTTTTTAGTGGTTTATTTTCACACAGAAGTGTGGAAATGTTTGTTTAAGTTCTCAGTGGTAGTAATAAAAAGAATACTTCACATAGTAATAGAAAGCATGATTTAATAAGATTTCTTTCATTGACTGAAAAAAAAAAAAGCAGAATTTGTCAAGAGTTAGTAATAGACTAAAGGATTTTTAAAAATTACAACTATCAGTAACCATTTTTACTGCAAAGTTTCAGGTGTGTCTTTTATAGCTCGTGTAAACTGAAATTTATTTTTCAGGTAGTGAGATTCTTTTTTTTTTTTTCCATTATAATTTTTAAAAAGTTTAACATAAATGTCAATATTTGACTACAGTGATTCTGGTTAATTATCCCAGTGGTCTCACTCAAATGATATGAAAGCAGCTGTTGGGTCCAATTTTTTTAAACCATCATTACATTTTGATTATCACTTATGGAGCATTTATCAGAAATACATAAACAATAATAATACCCGGACAGAAAAATTTTCAAATTTATATTTATTTTTTGTCTTAAATTCTAAACTTTGATTTTGATTGACACCAGAAATTTTGTTTGGTTACATGTTTCAATTCAAACTATTGGAAACTAAACATTAAATTTTCAAACTAACATTTATTTCTAATATATGTAATATATTAAACTAATCACTAAATAATATAATTCTAACTAAAAATAAATAATGAAAATTTGAGAACAAATAGCAGTAATCTAATTTCTTGATTCATATTTCTTTTGATACTTATAAAAAAATCAAATACTTGTTAATAGTGAAATAATTATAAATTGTGTACCTTACTGGCACTTCATAGCAGTTTGATTCTGATAGAACATGTAACATTGGATAAAAAGTACTAGAAATTTTCATGGACCATAAAAGTCCCTAATTCTGTCAGATTCCAGTCTTAAATTAAAAACTAAACTTCAGTTGTGAATATATATGGTTGCAAAACTATGGAAGTTTTACCTAAATGCATGATTATTGTTTCTCTAAACTCTTTAACTTCAGATATTTTTATCTTTTGAAAAGTATTTAATTAAATCTATCTTCGGATCTTTTAATACGACTTACTGTTGATAGTTTACTCCATTTGTACATTTTCTGGTGCATTATTAACATTCATTTTGAATAGTGATGAAAATAATGTCAGATTGGGCTCCAGATTGCTAAAAATCTTTAAATCTTTCTTCAGATTATTGTAATAGTGTTATTTTTCTTCTTT